TTTTTTACTTAAAAGACACAATTTTAGCACACTCTTACTACCAAAATATACTACCACATTATCAATCATCTGGTCATAATCCTTATACTTATTATACTATTAATATATCTAAAAAACTTATAAAATCTAATCTTTGATTACTTTCATACCATAACAAAAAAATTATTATTGGAAAAATATGAAATATTTTCTCTTATTTAACTATTACTCCATCACTTACTGGACTTTCAATATAGATTTAAATTACTCAAAATTTTATACTTTACCTTCTGCTGAATATAAATGATATACAGGATGCCACCTTAATTCTTATAGAATTAACCAAACTTGTACTGTTGAAGTTTTTACAGTTATTTCAACAAAATTTTTTGGCAGAACTAATTTCAAACACCAACTCAACCTCAATGCAAATTACTTGAACCTTATCTGCTCTACAGCTGTCAAGCATTTAACCTGTATTTCTCCTCTACCTATAATTCTTATTTCTAATTCAATCACTTCTAAAATCTTTATTCTAAGTAAAACTACCAACAAACTTATATCTATCTCTTAACTTAATTATTCTTACCAACAACTATCCTTTTATACTAATGGCTCAGTAATTGACATTGGTACTGATCAATGCATAATGAATATTGGTTAGATCCAAATTAACAATAATAATCAAACTATTAACTTTTTTTTTGCTAAAATACAATTCTGACTCTTATTATATAAAGCTGAGCTTTTTTTAATTATTACTACAATCTTAACAGCCTCACACAATTCAGTAATTAATATTTTCACTGATTCTCAATTAGTAATTTCCAAATTTAACAACCTTCAACTTTATTTAAATTACCTTAATAAATTATTCAAATTTAACTTATGGCCTATTTGGCACACTCTTTCTAATATTATTAAATCATACAAATTACAAATTATCTTTTACAAAGTTCAAGCTCATTCAGATAATAATCTTAATAAACAAACAGACTCTCTTGCCAAACAACATCCATCATTACCACTTCTTTTATTTAATTACACAAATCTTTATAATTCTTATCATATTCTTTAATAGAAACAACATTACATAGAACTTTCTACAAGATATTTTATTAAGCAAATATGTAAAGCCCACATATTATCTATATGAGCATCTCAAAAACATAATAGTGAATAGTTATACTTCAATTAGGATATTGACTAGAGATCCACTTGGCTTTATTTTTAATTATAATCAAAAACTCTTATACAATATTACTAATTTTAGACTCAATCAACTAAAATTCTTTAAAATCAAAATTCTTCTTAACAAGTTATCAACATACTAATTATTTTATACTATTTATCCAAACCAATACCCAGATACTAATTGTTTTTATTGTAACCTAGTTAACTCTTACTCTTACTGGCATACTTGTACTAATACACTTTTGCTTAACCAAATTATTCAAATATCTACTAATCAAATTATTTTTAGCAAATTACCTGATCTTGATATTTATTAAAAAAATGACCTAATTTATAAAATCCTCTATTATCCAGCTCTCTATTTCTTATATATCTTACTTAACACATTCTATCCTAACCTTACTTTCAAAGAACTTATTCCAAAATCACTTATATTAACAGTTCAAAACTCTGACATATTATACAAAACTGTCTCTCAAGTTATTATTGATATTCTTTTTAATATTAATGAACAATCATATGAATAATTATAGAAAACATATTTCATTTATTTCTCTAACTAGAAAAAATAACAAAATAAATCTCAATCTCAACCAATCAACAAACCTTCAATATTATCTAACTCAACAACTAGATATATATGTTTTTGTAAAAACTATACTTATTCATGCCTTTGTAGACTTTCAGATTAACTATATACTCACTCTAACAAATGCTCTTCTATTGGCCAAGCAATTCACAAAATTAACATTTAGTTTATTCTATGAATCAAATATAGCATATCATTAAATTATATACTAAACATCCAAATCTAGGTGAGCTTTGACCACTCTAGTAGGTTTAGGTTGCAGATAAATTACTCTGAGCTTTTATTCTTGCATGTAATTTTTAATTTATTTGTTTTGTACAAATAGTAGTAGCAGTATAGTTAGCAGTTTAATAGATTTAAAAAAAAAAATACAATATGAATAATGAATATTATAGGTTTACTTAAAAACAAGAATAAAAAAAAATAGAACTAATTAAAATTAAAAGTCACAGTAATAATAAGTGAAATGACAGAGTAAATTTACTTGCAAAAAAAGAGCAACATATGAAAGAATAATATTTATAAAAAAGATTAAGTATAACAAAATAGAGTACTATTTAGAATAAGAAAACAGAAAAACTAATATATCAACAAAACTTCTTTGCAAAATAGTTACAAATATCAGAATTGGAACTAGTTAGTGAGAAACAAACCCAATTCAAGTACTAAAATCAGAAACTAGAAACACTCAATATAATTAATCAAGTTTTTGGAAAGAAATAAATAAAACAAAGGGTGTATATTGCATAATAAGAAAATTTAGTACAAGAAGAGCAACAGTGATTAAATGCATAATAGATAGCCTACCAATGTTAGAAGAATTAAATAGAAGAAAACCAGAAATATATACAATAACAGACTGCCAAGTATATTAAAAAGGTTAAAAGGAAACTTAAGTACATTTAGCAAACTGCATTAGACAAAAAAGTTTGTAGAAGAGGATTCAAAAGGTAGTAATGACAGTATATAGAATAATCTTAAAGAAAATAAAAAAGTTAGAATTCTATCTCTAGTGCTATATAAGACACTATTTGAGAAAACAGAAGCAAAAAAAATTACTAATAAAATAACTTTAATAAAAAGACTAATAACAAATGAGATTGAAAAAAGGATCAATCAGATTTTAGATAGACAAACAACATATAAATGCATAGATATAATAACAAGAACAGTATAGAATACATTCTATAACCAAGTATAGAAAATTCAATATAAAAAAGTACAAAAATAAGAAAAAAATTAATGTAACAAGCAAAATAAAAAAAGATGTTTGAACTAAAAGAAGATTAGAGAAAAAAACAAAGAAAAATAAGGCACTAAAGGAAAAAGAAAAGAAAAAGAAAATGGAAAAAATGAACTGAATGAAAAAAGAAACTTGAAAGACAATTGATATGCTTGTTACATAAAAGAAAAAACCTTTTTAGTATGACTTTAAGTAGTTAGATGAGCAGTCTATCTCTAACTAAGATAATGTGACAGGTTGTACTTAGGTACCAATAGGATGACTAAGTAATATAGTTTTAAGAATCTTAATAAAGTACTAGCATAACTACTTAAAGTTAAAAAAAAAAAAAAAAAAAAACCTTCATTTATAATATGTATAAAATTACTTTTTGTACTTAGTAACTTCAAATAATTGCTAATTACAAAGCTATAAATAAAATATAAATAAGGCCTTACTTACCTTAACATCAAAAAAAAAAAATTAATAAAGATGCTTATATTTAAATAATTTAAATAAACTTTAATTTCAAAAATAAAAATTTTTTAGTAAACTTTAACCAGAATTATAATTTTAACCAAAAATAAAATGATCAAATTTTTATTTTATTAATAAATTTGGTTAGCTTTAAAAAGATTTAATACTATTATATATTAATTAAATAAAAAAGCAAACTTTATAACTTTGTTCTTTAGGTCTTGTTTTATTATTTTATTATTTTATAAAATGATTTGGTTTATAATTAAATTTTTTACTTTATATGAGCTTTTAAAAATTATGTACTTTAGTCGTTAGTTTAAGGATTCTTTGAATTATAGTGAAAATAAAATTTTAATTTTTTTCAAAATAATTGTTTTTTTTACTATTTTTACTATAGACAATTTTATACGTATTAAAATTTTTTTGATTTTGATAAAAATAGATCAAACTTTAGAGATTGGACCGGATAGAAATTGTTGCTATATGATTACCCCATAAGAGATTTTCTAAACGGGAGGTCAAACAAAAATATTAAATAGTTTAATAGTCAAATTTGCCTAACTGTTAAAGATTAAGGGATATGTTTTTTTTTGCTCTGCTGATAGATCATAAATTGTGGTTTATTTCAATAAATTTTAGGAATAAAATATGCATTCTCTGAAAATTTTTACTATTACCACCACTCTTAAGTGCGTCATTATACCTTATATTTAATATATATATATATGTAGTTTCAGTATTAGAAAAGTCATTACTAACCAATGTGCCTATAATTGTTACAAACATATGCATAAATTTCATTCATTAGCCATAGTAAAATAATCGGCAATTGTTAGACACAAAACTTTTGAGTTTGAGCAAGTAGTACAAGCTTTGCAATCCATAAAACATAAATAATGTTTATGCAAGTATTTCCAATTTCTTCGATGTACAAACATAAACAAGGATGCACAATATATACATTGGACAATGACACATTCCGAAGTCTATTCTTTTTCCACTTCTATACTTCAAATATCGAAATACCAAATTTGTTGAACCATTTAATAAGATTTTTGGCCGCGAATAATGAGTACGTAGACTTGATATTAGCTATCAGTTTGCACACATTATGAATTTATCTGATTCAGAGACAAAATCAAACATTTATAAAGTCACGGCTTACACAAAATCTAGTTACGATCTAAGAAATCAAGTAATTAATAAAGAACAGATTGAATAATCATATAGCAAAATAATGATCGATGGTAGACTAAAATTTATTCGCATCGCTATTTTTTAAGCTTTATAATTTATACAAATTCATATATAAACTTGTACAACAAGCTATTTTGACATATTACCCTTCGCCAACATTTTTCCGTTATATACAAGTGTAATTGCTTTAAGTAAACAAATTATTGTTTGTACAGAAAGCGATTAAAACCCGTGCAGATCCCTTTACTATAGAAAAGAAATTTACATTGAAAGAAAAATAATTCTATAATATAGAAAATTATAGCCTACTAAATTTTTTATTTTTTTTTTTTGCAACACAATTTCAACGTAGCCACTTGACATATCCCTAAGTTTAATAAAGATATACTTAATTGAAGCAATGATTTGTTAGATTATATTAAATATGAATTTCAGCATACCTTCATAAGCACCTCTCGCGTTCCACCGGCTTGACCACCACCACCACGATCTCTTTCAAGTACGAAAAGAGCATCTTTCACTGTCACTGCTGGAGTGACATCACCAGCATCCCGTGAAACCCTCCCGCTAGCATCATGTGTTGCAGAGTATATATGGTCACCGCGTGTGCCAAAACTATCACCTCTTTTATTTACTGAAAGTCGACCATTTGAAGTTGAACGTGAGCGACCACGTGATGGTCTAATTCCAGATGAAGCACCGTTGCTGTTTGAAGATATAGCCGAAGACTGAGAAGTTTTATCAATAGCACCTTGTAACATCCAACTTTTCGTTAGGCCACCGGCAGCCACCAAAGCTGTTTGATTAGTGCTTGTGGCAATAGCTTCATTAGTAAGCTTCAATGACGAAGCAGATGAGGATTCTTTTTTTTGACGTTTAACACGTTTTGGTTGATGAGTCGGAGCATCAGCTGAATCTTTTACATCGTCCATTTGGTCATCACCTATATTATCTTGTGATGAACCAGCGAGACTTTCCTGCCTTTTACGCTCTTGTTCCCTTTCAACTTTTTCGATGGCAGCTAATTGTGATCTAACATCTAGGCTGACAACTTCTTTATACATGGGCAGACTGTTTTCGGAGGTAAGGGGAAGATTTATATGTTCCGAATGTATTCTGTGGTTTTTCGCTACTATCATTGTTTCTATTAGTTCTTGGATTCTTTCTTGTGTGGCGAGTGCCAAGTAAGCTAATGCTTCGGGGTGTACGTTTACTATTTTGTGCTGTAATGCTTAAATTTTTGCAGTGAAAACTGTTAGGACATCTTACAAGAAAATATACTTGTTACAAAAAAAAAAACCAAAACAAAGGAAATTACCTATTGATTGAACTTTTGCGGCAAGACTTCTTTGATTTAAGAAATTTTGGGAACGTGAACGGTCGGGATATTGAACTAACATGGAAGCTTGACGCGCTGCCAATAACTCGTGTTCTCTACGAATATTGATTTCTTCAGCCTATTATTATAGTTTAAATGTTTTGAAATTTTATTATTTTGAAATACTCTAATTACTGTTTAATTTTTAATAACTTTTCAAGCAAGCCCGTACTTTTATATCTACTCCAGACGAAATAAGAACGTCATTTTCTGTAAAGTTTGTACTTTTTTCTTCGGATTGTGCTGTTGTGCCCGCTGGTACCGTTGACCTTCGGCTACAAAATGAGGTGAGATTTTTGAGTCCATGTAACATATTGTTAAGTACATTTGTATTATTATAAAAAAATAAAATAAAATTTTAAATGCACCCTATAGGACCCCCGTTTTGAAAGTCTATAAAACAAGTGCAAGTTTGATGTTAGAAAAATAATAATAATAAACGAAGTACTAGATTGGCTCTCAAATTTATTCCAGACCGTTGAAGTACGCATAAATTTGAAAGTGTCAGCCAATTGGTGGGTTAAACTTACTAGTGCCACGCTGTAACGTTGGAATACCGTAACTTGGACGGTAACCCACAGGAGGAGGAGGAGGAGGACCCATAGGCTGCCCACGAGGAATTGGCTGCGTTCCTTGATCAGGTCGATTGATTGGAGTAGTTGCTCCTTGCATGTTTGGCAAATTATAATTTGTACAAACAAGAGAAGCTTGGGAATTTTTCTTCACTTCTTCGTAAGCCTCTAAAAGCATCCACTTTTTACTAAGATCTCTTGTTTCGTTGGATTATTTGATTTCCAACTTTTTCGGGGGAAAAAATTTGGTGAAAAAAGATAGTCAGATATTGAGGACAGAGTAGTGGACGTGGATGACATTGTTTTGTTTGTGTTAACCGCATATGCGCAAGCCTCTTAATGGACTATAAAAATGACATAGAGCCGGCCAAAAATAATTAATTTAGTCAATCACCCTTGGCACAATCATTCAGAACAGTTTTAGAGCATGGAAACACAGATAAATATTACTAATAAAAAGTAAACGCCGACAAATTTTTGAGAATTTTGATTGGCTGTTTGACTATAAGCCTGTTTAATGGAGAATTTTTTTTTTAAAAAAAAATACCATGCTTCACTATATGCGTCGACCAACGAATTTTTCATAAAAAAAATAATATCATTTAATATTAACCATCGATATGTGCTCGGATTGAAATTACGTTCCCTTGTCTATTTAAAAAAAAGAAATGTGCACACATCTCTATAATTATACATATTGTATTCTCATTTAGCCGGATTATGCAGGTTGCTTCAAAATGTTTCTTGATTTTTGGTATTGGGAATCGAGTTTTTACATGAACTGCATTTTTATGTAATCGTACTGTATCGCACTTAATAAAATTATCAGACATATATAAATTATTTTGTTTCTCATAGCCCGGCAGGGTCATTTTGATTGTTAAGCTTCCGAAGAGTTTAAAACGGGCCTGTTAACGCTATAGTTGCGACACTTCTTTTTAAATTTAATTCTAACTCGAATTGTCCAGGGCGACCTGTGGCGTCATCAGTGTATACCATCAAATCGATATGCACAACCCGATTTTTTTTTGGTTTACATATGAAATTTTCCTTGTGCGATTTAGTACAATATCAAAATTTAATTAATCGTAATCGATCATTTTTTATGATTGTGTTGAATTGAATTGGTTGGTGCCACACATCCGGTCAGATGAGGCTAAGTTTTTATACGTACAATATATATATTTATTAATTTGAAATTTGAAATGCCTAAGGTTAAAATAGCAAATTTCGTCGAACTGAAGTTTTCAATTTATACAAATACTCCTATATACGCACCAATTATTCGGATTTTTTAAAGGTCAATTCCGATAAGTTTTAAGTTTAAAAGCCAAAGTCCTTTGGCGTTACTCATATATGGAAGCACTGTGTAAGTGTAAAATACCATTTTGCTTTTTTGATGGACATATGTAAGTTAGAATATCATCTAATTACGTTATTTAATCGATAACGAAAATTAGTATTTTTCGATGCCAGATTTTTAACGTCTTGGCATAAAAAAGTTTGCGTACAAAGAACTGTTTTTATAATTGCTTATTATTAATTTATAATAAACTGGTTTGACGCATCTCAGAATCTAAATTCATATTCATATTTCTTTATAAAATATATTAACTAAACATTTTATCAAATTTATTTTTATATCGAAGGTCAAGTTCTTTTGTTCCTATAATTCGGCCAGGTTAAATTTAAAAAAAAATTTATATGTATTTACTATCTGGGAGGCTTTTTTGAAAACTAGCTAATGTTCTTTCTTATCTAGTATCAAGTATAGATATTCTTAACTGGTTAATTTTGCATCTAATTTTGATCACGTGAATAAGTTTGGCATAGTGGACAATCAAACCTTCTAGATTTGAAAATTGTGACTTAGAGCTAAGTTGTCCAATAAAAAATCTAGGATCGTCAATTACATGAAATTAATGCCCAATCATATTTATTATATTTCTATTTTATCAGATCGAAGATATTTCATGATCTAATGATTAGAATTTAATAATTTTTTTTTTTTAATATTATAAGTGAGGTTATTTTTATTTTTTTTTTTTTAAGGTGAAGTCTTGCTCATATCTTTATTAAGTAATTTTTTTATTTTTTTATTTTTTTTAAATATTAATGATAAGGTTATGCTTCTATCTTTATTGAATATTCAATTAAGATTTTACATAAAGTACAAGTTTACTTTTAAAATATTATAGAAAGAATAGAAGCTCAAACTAATTTATCTGTGACCTAAATCAATCAGAGTGATCAAGGCTTACCTAGATTTGGGTGTTAGTAATAATTTATAGAGGATTAGTTTGATATTTAATCCATTGAATATACTAGAAGTTAATTTTAGAATTAATTGAATTAAAAAGAAGAATGTGTGATACAGAAGAGACAGGATTTAATAATAAATTAAAATTAGAAGGTTGGGTTGTGGATCTTGAAATACAGTAAGGAATTCAGATTTTGTGATAAATTTGTTAATTAAGATGAAGTAAAAACTTTATAAAAAGTATAGTAGTTATTTTTTTGAAAAACAAATTTGCAATAGTATCAATGAGTTCATTTGATATTAAGCTTATTAGAGTTGAGAAAATTGATAATACATCAGATCTATTGTGAATAGATATGTTGTAAAGTAGTTTAATTTAGTAATATAAGTTAGTTATAGTATTAGATATAATATTGAGTATATTTGAGTTAAGAGTATATTATAATGAGGTATCAATAAGGCTAAGTAGTAGTTGATTAGATGGACAAGTTGTTTAATGAAGGTGTGAACTAGTTTGGTGCTATTGGTGACAAGTAGATAAATATGAAGAATAGTATTTATGTAAGATATGTGAAGCAGAAAGTTCATCTGATAGAATTTTAATTTTAAAGGATTTGAGATTAGAGGACTGAAAGCTATGAGAAAAGTTAAAGATTTTTTGATTATTGTTAATATAAAACTAGGTGGCTTGTCATTTGACTTGGTTAAAAATTTTGTGCTATTTTTAAAAACAGTTTTGTTTTTTTTTTTTTGGTATTAAGGTGACCTCTTTGGTCTTTTGACTTTTATTAATCACTTGTCGGTATTGTGGTTCA